GTCACTGACTGGTCGAAAATTGAATGGCACCATCGAATACGAATACTGAAGCAAATTTTCTGAAACCACGTGCACCATTCAAACTGGCTTCCTTCAACGTTCGCACACTTATGCAGGTCGAACAACAGATAGGACTGGGTGTGTCTTGAGAAAGTCTTAATATCAACGTCTGATGTCTAACCGAGATTCGTATTCAAGACTATGGTGAAGTACTACAAATTCGCTCTCGACCTGTCGCTTCGAAAAGCTTGTTTTACGTGCGCTTATCCGGGGACCCTGTGGCATCTTCGTCTGGTCTTGCTCGCGTTGGTGTCGCACTAAGCACTAGAGCTGAGGCAGGAATAATCGATTGGATCCCCATTAACAGTCGTTTATGTGTCGTTAGATTAGAAAATTCCATCAAAGTGAGAAGAAATCGGCGTGCGAAACGATGTCTTTTCGTCATCTCCGCCTATGCCCCGACAGATTGTAGCCCGGATGCAATCAAGGATGAATTCTACCACCATTTATCTGTTCTTCTCCAGAAAGTGCATTCGACAGATATTGTAGTACTAGCCGGAGACTTGAATGCTCAGGTCGGGCGTCTAGGCAGAGAAGAGAGTCGTTTAGGTGGCCGATGGGGACTTGTTGGTCGCGGGTCGAATAACGGAGACCGTCTACTACAACTGTGCACGGACCACAACCTGTTTCTGGCCAGCACTAACTTTCGGCACAGTCATCGCCGATGTGCCACCTGGCGTCCTCCCACTGCATCTCAAGCCTGGACTCAGATTGATCACATCGCGATCAGCTACCACTGGCGTGGTTGTGTACAAGACTACCACTCCTTTTGGAATACCTATCTGGACTCTGACCATGCCTTGATCTGCGCCAATCTTACCTTACTTTTCAGTGGCCAACGAAGTGACCGCCACCAACGGATTGATGTTAGCAAGCTGGTTGCTTCCAAATTATTGGCTTCTGTCATACTTCGTAGGTTGTTCAAAACTAGAGGAAGATTGACTCGCGAGGAGCAGGTTAGTTTTCGTTCTGGTCGGGGATGTATTGATCATATCTTCACCCTCCACCAAATGTTAGAGCACCGTCATACTCATCAAAAGCCAACAATCGTAGTGTTTCTTGACATCAGGGCTGCCTTCGATTCATTGGACAGGACTGTTCTCTGGGATTGTCCATGGAAGAAGGGTGTGCCCCTATATACAAACACCTCAGGCAGAGTGAGGGCATACAACCATCTTTCTCCATTGTTCCATTCAAGCAGTGGGGTTAGACAGGGTTGCCTAATCTCACCATTCCTCTTCAACTTTGCCATCGATGACATTCTGGAAACAGCTCTGATGGATGTAAGTAATGACAGTGTGGATCTGTTGCCTGGAGAAAGACTTCTCGAACTTGAGTATACGGACGATATTGTCTTACTGAGCGATAATGTCCAAGCCATACAACCCATACTTAATTACTTGGCAATCAATATCCATAGGTATGGTATGTGCTTTGCACCTTTGAAGTGCATAGTACTTCTACAAGACTGGCAGGATTATAATTCTGTACTCACTCTGGATGGTGAACAGATAGAAGTAGTCGGGAAGTTCGTGTATCTAGGTAGCTGTATAAGTGCTGGTGGTGGTGTGAGTGATAAGATCAATGCACGTATAGTGAAAGCCAGAGCGGCGCATATATATTTGGCGCACTCTTGTACAAATATTTATGTGTATAAATAAATAAATAAATTAATTAATTAATTAATTAATTAATTAATAAATAAATATACATTCCAAGTCTAGGTAGTTTTAACATAAAGACAATAAGCCACAAATGTGACAAGTATGCACCAATTAAGAAATGGAAATCCCTGAATATACTTGTATATATAGATAACTCTCATAGCTGTTTAGGTGTTTTATTTAACTGTGTGCGCTTACGCCCACATTAATAACAAATCGATGGTGTGAATATGAATTGGATATCAATGTTACAAATTAGCAAAACAAAACTAATCACGCACGTAATTGTCTAGGCCTAAAGGAAACATTGTTTAAGCCATCGGATTCTCCGAAACAACAATGTCTCAAATTTAGTTTAGACAAATTCGAATAATAGGTGAGACCTTTGAACGTTTTAACAATGGGACATATATTAAAATGTCTCGCTGGTCGCCCTTATTAATACGAGCCTTTTTGAATGGATACTACATGTAGATAGCTTTGGATAAGTGAAATAAGATCCTCAGGGCAAATTACATTCTTATATGTACCACAGACTGAATAAAATGCTCGACGATGCTAAATATTGAAATTTTATTGAACACTGAAAGAAGATGGTTCTCGTCACTTGAAAAAAGTTTGCTTTATTTGAACTAATCCACAATCAAAACCTCAGTGTTAAAATTGATTTTAAATATATGGTTAAAAAGTGAAACGCAATCCAAACACATTCATATCAGTAATATTGGTTACATACAATTGAACACGTCAAAATCTTATCTGATTCATTACATTAGTTTGAGACCGAAATAAACGAAGTGATCGTGGGACGTTTTTATTACCTCGGAGCACAGTGGTATTAAGCCATCTTGAGAACTCGGAATTCTTCGAATGATTTAACTGCAATATTTTAAAGAAAACACTACATTTGATTAACTGGTCTATAATCAATTAACATAGGCAAACATCCTACTGAACTAAGTTGTACCGGACAGGCTTTTCTCAAATAATGAAGATCATTGCTTTTAACCTAACAGGTGAATTTTATCGGAGTTAGATATCATCAAAAGAATGAACAGCAATTGGAAACAACTGGAAAGCAGAGCCCAGGACAGAATTCGTTGGAGAATCCTGGTCGGTGGCCTATGCTACTCAAAGATGAGTAACAAACATAGGTAAGTAGATACCATACTTTGAATTTGAATACCAAGAAAAATGAGGTTTGTAGAAATATTGTTATGCGCTCGTCTAAACATTATGGTTCCAAAGAAGAAATATTTTAGACAACACGGTGTCAAAGAGATTTTCATTTCAAATGCGTTAAAAGCACGTATACTGCAAATAGAATAAAAAATATTTTCTAGAAACATTTGACAAACCTAGTATTTTAGCAATCTAGTTAAAGAAAAACATTTGAAAGCGTTTCACGGGATGTTAATAACAAAGTGAATTGTGTTTATTAGATCTTGGTGATGTAATAACATCCAAATACTAATTTATATTCGATAATTTTGTAGTTTGATTATATTTTCCTTGAAAAAGCTTGGACCAGATTGCCAGGCGAAACGTTGGATTTACTTAAAAATTCATTCGCTGAGATTTTAAAAATATATTCTTCTTTTTAATGTCTCAAATTAACTCGGCGCCCAAATATTGTGAAACTATTCGTTCAAATTTAGACGAAAGTTCTTATTTATCCAAACACTAATATGATACAAAATTATTTCTCATGATATTTAAAGTTTCCTACTTACTTGTGAGTGAATTTATGTTATCTCCCATTTTTATAAGTTGTTCAATAGTACAGTAATAATAAAGTTGAATAGTTAAAGGAATCATACATGGTATCAGTTCATTGAAATTTCTAATCTATTTTTTTCTAAATAAAGTATTGGTGAGGTTTCCTATTATCTGTAACGCTAATGTAACTCAACAGTTAACTAGGAAGTGTGATTTGGTCAATAAAGTTATTGCACACTATAGAAGATCACGTGCAGCCCTTTTTTACTTGGCAATGAAGCATTTCGGACATATGATAGATGGTACAATTATCACAGTGTATACATATCATAAACCCCTCACAAAAGTATTGAACTAATCGTCGAGGGAAATTCGACAATTAGAATTTATTTCCCAATTTACGTCTAACATACAATATATTAAAAGCAATAATAACGAAGTGGCAGATGCGTCGTCCAGAACGATGATAAACGCTTTCATCTAATTTGAAATCTATCATCACAAATTAGCAGCATTGCAAAATATAGATGTTGAGCTAAACAGACTAAGGTCTGCCAACACAACCTCTTTGACACTAAAAGAAACTCTATTCGAAAAAGTAAGCATCACGTGTGATATTTCTACGGGCCAACCACGAGCGTTTATTCCGAAGCCACTGAGACGAATCACCGAAACGTGAGTTTCAATCATCAACGACATCGACGAAGTAAAACGGAGAGAATCCAGTAACGACAAGATATGGTCGAAGAGTGAGATGCCGCAACGATACATAGCTACCATTTTGAATTAATAATTCCGTTCACCTATTCAGATGTAAATTTCTTTTATCTTCGTTTTGTATGAGCACATCGAGCATTTTAACTTATATATTATTATATTCGACATATTTTGTATATTCGATGGTTCATTCATTTCATTATATATATATATATATGTACATTTTAATTCCGTTCACTCACTCGCTTGCCCGCTTACTTTTCGGCACTACTCTTTTATGCTTGCTTAGCGTACCTGTAATTTTGGTGATCTGTACGTGGTTCAATAATAAACTTACTCAACACTTCGTATTCGCCTTCTGATTAATACACAGTTGGGGCGTTATTTAGTGACGGTTATCAGGACGAACTGTATACGAAGTTTAAGGATTATATTGAATACTAACCACAACAACACATAAGTTATTTAAAACAGACGAATATTTCATTAGCAGTGGAACCTAGAAGGCATGTTTTACTTTATTTAGGACTCTTCATCTAGATACAAATTTAGAGTCGAATTTAGAACCTTTTAAATTGTAATGAGCAATCCACTGAGCTAGCTACCCTAAGTTTAGATAGCTACCAGTTTTATTAGGAAGGTATAATGTTGCATAATATTTTTAATAAAGGGTTTAATTATTATGTTCAGGATGGATTAAAATCCGGTAAAGAATATTAACGATAGTAGAATTCAAATTCTTACTACTGCGACTAGTAAATCGTATACAATAATTTTAATTTCTGAAACATATTGAAGGGAAAAAAGCAAACATTTTTTTTTAAAAAAAGGGTCATTCACCTCGTCATCCATTACAAGGTTTAAATCCATTTTAAAGTCCATTTGTTTTGGTGTATTTCTTAGAGTAGTATAGTAAACCGCAGATGTTAATGCTGATTCTTGTGGTACTATTGAATTTACACAATTAAAAAGTGCCAAATTAATAACTTGTAAATGTTGATCAAGCTGATGATCATTGACATCGACAGATAACAATTTAGTATCATCTTTTCGCCGAATATTAATTAGTTGTTTAATGGTTTGTAATAAAATTTCTGAAGTACTCAAAGGTAATTTCGAATTATCGTCATCAACTAGATTGTATCTCATATCTTGGAAGGTAACAATTTGATCGCAGATTCTCACAAGCGAATCACTTAACGGAACTGATTGACGTGTTAAACGTGAATATCCATCGCATAATGACTAAATGAATAAAAATGTAAATATGAAAATGATAATAATAATAATAATGTCTACATCTGATGTAATACGACACTACTTTATTTCAAATGAAGATTACAATTTAAAAAGGTGTTAAGTCTAAATTTTCTTTGAAACAAAACTATATAATACCGTTTGTAATTAGAACTGATCGGGTTCCATCTTCCTAAAAGCCTTTATTTTAATACTTCATTTCACATTTTTGGATTAAAAGGATTACATTACTTTAAGAGCATGAAATTTTTTATCAGTATATAATAGCGAATATTATGATCCAACGGGATTAACAAATTGATACACTATGTCAATGAAACATCAGCCAAACGATAGGTTCATGCTATTGGCCCATATTTGGCTTTCTATTCTGATAAATGAGACATGCACTATTGAATATGTGGCTTCAATCTCTAAGGGATATATATATATATATATATATATATATATATATATATATATATATATATATATATCGTAATTCGGTTTAGCCAATAAAACTGCATTCCCACTCTCGGTGTTCTCACTTCAATAACCAGTTGAACTAGTATATCAGTGTCAAAATCGGACAGTGAACTACACTACATAGATTACACAATACTTAGTCATATCAAATAGTCCTTCGTAGTGATCAAGAATTAAAATGAAGCAGAGAAAAAATCCAATATGGTATACTATTGGGGTACATTAAAAATTATACATTATACCATTGCGATATATGCACAAATCCACTAAGATCATCAGAAGGAATTTTTATGAATAAATTGAAAGTAAGTATAAACAAAGCAACACTTACAAATGGCACAAAAACTGGCATTAAATGTGGAGGAACTGGTATTGTTGTCGTTCTACCTTCATTAATGGAATTACGTAGAATTTCCTCTTCAATTTCATCATATTCATAGTAATTAGTATTCTTGTTATTATTCATTTGTTCAGATGTGACAGTATCACTTCCATATACTACTAATGCTAATTCTGATGAGGACTGTCCGTCTTCCTGTTTTTTGATAAGTGTCAACGAATTCGGTAAATTAACAGGTAGTTCCCACAGAATAACATTGAGCTAGATAAATATTTTGCAAAAAACATTTAACGTAGAACATGATAGAGAAAGGCATTAAAAATAGATATATAAAACAAAGTATTACACCAACCAGACTAATGTATTATTTTGCTCATATATATATATATATATATATATATATATATATATATATATATATATATATATATATTAATATATATTAATATATATTAATATATATATTAATATATTAATATACTGCTTCTAGTTAATTTACAAATAATATGGTTTATTGAGAAATAGGAGGACGATTGCATCACATGTGTCAAAGAAAGCTGTTTAATAGTTGAAAGTCAAATAAAAGATAATGAGATGAAGCCAACTGGGCCAAGGATAATTGTTCACTTGACGAATATCAGAATTAAGTGTAAAAATTTTAAAAGTAAAAAAGTGATAGAAACGAACGATCAAAACTACGAAGATTGAAAACATTATAAGAATGTAATAAAGTCAAATTATCATATACGAAAATTAAGTGTTATAGCCATGGAAGAATGATGGCTTTTATGTCTCTTTTGCACACAGAGTTTAAGTTTTGAAAAAGGTGGATTGCTAGTCTCCACAGTGCGTACGACATTAATTTGCGATTTTTTCGAAACAAATCGTTGGAATGTATAGATCATTTTAAAGAGCTTATTAGATGAGGTCATTTAACTAGAGCTCACAACATGTTCGAATATTGAACTGTTAATTGATTTACATTTGCCATCTGAAAGCCATGAAGGAGAATGTTAAGAGATGCGTTTGAAAGCGTTCGATTGTATGGGCAATGTAATTCGCCACACGAAAAAAGTGAACCTATAAATACATATTCATGTGGCCCAATGTGGGAGTCTGCTCTTCACACATACAAAAATGATGCGGCTGGAAAAGAGGATGAGAAACTTGACGGGCTAAAAAGTATCCCGAAGAATTACGTTAGACGATTCTTCAAAGTTTCATAAGCAGGATCTCTTTTAAACTTTATGCTCATGAAGAGAGTTTTCCCAGTTCTTGGAGATTGTAATTGATGTTTCATTTCTCGCTCAACAAACCTGGATGAATAACCATTTCTGAGGAAAATCTGTTGAAGGTTGGATAGTTTCCTTGTAAATCGTGTCTTTCGAGAATATTCGTCCAGCCGTTGATGATAAATATTGAAATAATTTCTTTTCTCTTGAATGTGACCTAGCTATGAAAATTCGTATATTGTCGATTCCAAGTGGATTTTCGGTAATATTAACCTTTGTAACGTACCATTGCCTTCTATTTATTAAGACACCGGGGAAAGTTAATTTTGAATTCGATTCTGATTCCAATGTAAATTTGATGAATCGATGACAATTGTTGAACTTATCGAGGGTGAGATTAAGTTCACTGTTTTAATCATAAATAATAAAAGTGTCATACATATATCTCTTGTGTAACTGAAAGCCGTCAATCGTCTGTTGAAGTCCTCTTTTCATAAGTTTGGTCGTCAAAAGATCCGTTAGAATAGAAGCGAATGGTGAACTCAAAGTGATGCCATCAGTTCGTATGTGGAGCTCATTATTATATCTAAACTGTACACTGAAGGTGCACCATAGGAATAACTCCTTTTGGTAGTATTTGGGAACCTTCCTCGGCTTAACTAACTAACCCATCGATGGAAAAATATAAACCAACAATAAAACTTACCAGTTTTGCCATCAGGCTGATGAAACAATTACAATGAAGTAACGTATATCATGCAAACGTGTATCCAAGATATATCAGTTATTTCATGTTTATTTTTTAAAGCTGATCACAACTCAGTCGTCTTGATCACGTAATATGCATCATAATTAATAGCTAAACCAATAAGTCTAACCATTCTATCATAAAACTAATCAGAATCACTATGACCAGTCACTAGTTCAGTTAGAGTTTCATCTATTTTATTTGTGGTGCGGTTATCACAGTTCGCTCAATGAATTTACGCTAAGGAAAGGTTGCGTACAATGGATAGTACATCTTAAATATTAATTACATTCCTTATAGTCAAAGACAGGGACATTACGAAGCTCAAAACCTAAGGGACCATCCGCTACTTAATTATCCAACATTTATAGAGACGATTCAGTTATTTCATAAACGTGTTAGGCGTTCCCACCTGTTATGTGTAAAACATCTAAATGTTCCATTTGCTGTAAAAACGGTCAAAGTACTGTCTGATACCATACTATCGAAAATTGACTAAAATGAGGAGAAAACTAACTCCTAAACATAGGTTATTTAAGTTGTAGGTGAGCTGTCCATATTTTCTATTCTCCAAAGCATGACTAAACACCGTACTAACAGATAAGTGGCTAATAACTCGTATGATTTTAACATTATCTGGCTAAAAAAGTGCTCATAAGAGAGCGGGTTATCGAAATATTTGTTATTACACATTAGTTCATTTTTTTGAAAGAACAACCTTAGTGATATTTTACTACCACAACATTTATTTAATAACATTCAGTGTTAACTGATTAACTATTTTCAATTCTAGTTTGCTAACAATGTTATATGGCCTACGGTCATTGTATGTTACTGCCTAAACGGAGTTGTTCCTATTCAGTTCCTGACTTCTGCTCAGAATATAAAGTTATTCTGAAAGTCTCACCTTCTCTATGTAGTATTACCATGTGAAATATTGGTGTGGTTAGTGTTTCCAGTCTATTCGAACTTTTATTCATAGTGTCGTATTAGAAGAATCGCTTATCATTTGTAAATAGAAGTTACCATAGGTCAACCGTAAACCCCAATACCTTAACGGTTATCTTCGATATGTAACAAACAGTACTCGAGGATTTTGGAAAAGTTTGAAAATCAACGTACAATATTATCTGGAGGATGGGTATATAGTAGACGTGTACCTCATAATAACGAACGAACTTGTATCTTGTCAACATTTGAATGTATCAGTTTCTTTTATAAATAGTGAAGTTATAAACTGACAACATAGAGTAAATACAAATACAGTATAAAGCAGTTGAAAAGACGAAACGATGCTGGATGATCCTTGATCATGTTCCGATTGTGTATACATCTGATGCAAGGAAACATTTGATCGATAGATTGCCATCAGCACTAAGATGTGAGTTATCAATTCTCCAAAGATCATCATCTAGGTTCAACTAGGCTGGCTTCTAGCCAATCTACTTCCATCTTGTAAACTTATATAAAATAAATACTTTTTAGAAAATCACCTACGCACCATTATTTGATTTCCAGCATTATTATTCTTTGTTTTCCAATGGTAATTTATAATAACGGCTGGTACTAACCAAACAGACTGGTTTACCATTAACTGGAGTAATATTAAACGACCGGGACAAAAAATTTGCTGTAAACGTTGCGCATATTTTACATCAAGTGTAGAAATAATTGAATTTGTTAGTTGACGATATTTGTAACACAACTGTGTAACAAAGTAAAACATTTAGACAGTGTATACACACTCATCATACAACACTGAAAACATTTATATGCACATATGTAATGAACAGTAAATCTCGTGAAAAGGTAAACCAACTAAGAAAACTACTACTGTCTATCAAAACAAAAGCCTGAATTAATTTACTAATCAAAAGTAAAACATTAGAACATACTTGGCAAAACATAACAGTCTACAAACAATCAAAATTGACATTGTCAAAGTTTTACAAGCTACGGTTATCACTAGTCATAACTGTCGTCACTAAATATTTATTCTTGTTATTGTTAGCAGTATGATTATTACACTATTACCATTAGTAATAGTATTAGTTGTATTGGTATTATTATTATTAAACTTTATCGATAACTGAGAAAACTTGCATAGAAAATATTTATCATATCTTTGATTTTCTATTATATATTAGGGCTCCTATTCCCACCTGACTGATTCTAGAGAAAGGCTAAAAGTGGCAATTCCCAGATGTGACATCACTTAATGAAGTAATTAGCTGTTAGACTTATTCGTGTTTGTAGGTGAAGATTAATTAACCACTTGATTGGAGTAAGAGCAATCCTTAAGGTTAATGGTTAGAAACTGAGTGACGGGTCAGGATCGGTCCCAGAAGTGCACATACCCTTTAGCCCTCATGAAACCTAGTTCCATAATAATTCTACAATTTTTATGCTGCAAATTCATTCTTTCTTCTGGAATCATATCGCCTATGCGTGATGTTTGATACTTCGGTAATGAACAAATTCTTAGGTATTATACCAATTTACTGCACAGTGCAAAATCACACACAGCATTTGTAATATATGAAAACAATACATCGAATACATCATTTGCACACATTCCTTGAATTGTCTCTTGCAAGGTTCGTCGATGTTTTATTCCTGTTACTGCTCGGACTGCTTATCCTTTTCTTTCTGTTACCAACATTTTCCTCTTCTGTCAATTAGAATTCTACTTCCAAATCTTGATACATACTACTGCTATCTGTCCGTACAAGTAGCACACACCACGCTAAGACAAATATGTGTACAGTTTACATTAGATTGAGATTGTTACTGATTATACCACTCCGTTACTCTGATACACTATGGTAACTTTAACCGATGCACATGTCTCAGGTTCCATGTTGCTTATGAATGAATATGTTGGCTATTTAGGAATCTGTTGTTCAGTTACTGCTGGTGTGTGTGTTCATGAATGGATGCTTTGATTTTGATTGTAACTACAAAAGATTCAGTCGCCTAATGGATAACGATTTAGTGTTTATAATAACGGGTTCGTAGCACAATACGAATATATTACCACTCAGACCCACTTGTGCCTAGCTAACGAGTTCTGTTAGCGGGACATAGACTAGATTAAATCACTTCCCATGCAGGACTATGTTGGAGCACGCTGATTAACCATTTCTTTGCCAACCAGCCCATATCGAGGATTCTACAGCTAACCACTACCCAACTATCCTATTTAACAATTACTCTTTGTAAACAATGATTCGAATTCGACAGTATATATATATATATATGATTATACATGTATACCAGTAAAACTTTCTTCTCAATCTTGGTTTTCTCACTGAAGCAACCTATTGAGCTCGCGTATACAGAAGCTTGTGTGTATTGGTGTTTGAACTGAACGCTGTACAACCGAACATATTATCTTATCAAACTGATAGAAATTAGTGCGTAGTTTATCGTATGTGTAAAAGCAATAAAAATGTATTGGTAAATCGGCATTTTAACTAACTTGATAGTATTGACCTATAGAATCACAGCATTCAACTCCATTATGTGGACATCTAACCTGTACATCAAGACTATCAATCAGAGATTTAAACGAATCACTAGTACCCTCAATGGATTTTGAAATCGTAATAGTTGATGTCTGGATGATAATATTACTAATATTATTATCAGTATTATTATTATGTGAAATTATTTTAGTAGTTTCATTTAACTTTTTATTTAATACTGATAAATGTTGTCTTTGTTTAGTCTCCCATCGATGACTTGCTGCTTCCATAAAACTACGCTTCATAATGTCCTGAAAGAAATAAGAATAAGTGAAAGCAATGAGAAATCTCTCATGATCTGAAGAGTAAGTAATGGACATAAATGGGAAATACTCGAGATCTTATTATAAAAGTCAATAGTGTTATGAACACATCTTTTGTCAACTCATTGACAAGTAAAGATGTTAGTCTATTAGATTATTATCATTTTGGTGCTCACGATCTGACTTCATAATGGATGATGATGAATGGAGCACAAAATATAAATCTTCCGTTGTACCACACATATCACACTTAGGCTAACCTCATTTGGGCAATGGTGGTTACAATAGTCAAACACGAATTGAGTTGGAAGAGTTTATTCCAGGCACTGATTTACTCAAACAGACAACAAGTGAAAAATGGAGAAGGGCTTTCCAGCCAACCGCATGGACACATACGTACCATTGTAAACACATCCTCATGACCATATAAATGTGACAAAATGACTGGAAAGATTAGGATAATTCATCTATCAAAAAGTAAATTGTGTAAACGTGTAACAACACCAACTGCCCCACCATTGCTTTGATTATTGCAGTGGATCCACTTATTTTCTCAACAATATTGAGAAAACTAGCATTTCTGTAGACGAAAGTAAATCTTAAATCTCGTTATTGTTAGTGTGTGGTTTGTGGAGATTGTTGGATTTGATAGTTTACTTTACGAGCTGACTTTAGTTATGCAACCGCTGGGAACTAAGAAGCACTGGACATCTGTTTTCTGTCTACTAGAAATTGAAGGATAATTTCCGAAGTTATAGATTGGGAAGCCGTAACCAGTAGTATAGTTCAAACATACTGACTGTGAGACAAGTACCAACTGACGACATTAGATGATTTGCAATGTCACCAGTTGATTGAATTTAAAGTGTAAACCATCGGATGCTAACGCAGAAGTCTAAAGGTTAAGTACTTGTCTTAAACCCTAAAGATCCTGAGCTCGATATCCATTATGGACGTGAATGCACACTTTGCAAAAGACTAGAACTAAAATGAAACAACCATTTGGTGCATCATGATTTCTAATTCGTTATTTTTATCGTGTTTTCATAACAAAAACTGTACAGATTTTATGAACTACTCAGCTTAAATTAGTTATGACCTTATTTTGTATTCACAATGAGTGACAAAGTTCAGATATTCATATTTGTTCACAGAACATAAATCCGGTCTAGTTAACTGTACGCTTACGATGGATCGAGTGAAATGTACTAGACAAATATTGATACACTAAACGGTACATGATTATTTTTTTCATTGTTAAATTACTGACAGTCATAAATCTACTACTCATACTTCCAACTAAAAAAATTCAATTTAACTACCATTTTCGATTTATGGTGTGTTTTGGGCTTGTATAACATCTATATCATCATCAAGTGACATTCAGTCTAAAAACGATGTAAAATAATACAAAAGGTTCAGCTGCATATCTAGTGTATTGATTTGGCAAACTGAATGCAGGTGAGAAATTTTGTACGGATAATTGATCACTTATCACGTAAACAGTAGTTTACTTAACACACATATATGGTGGAAGAGGTAGGAGAAGAAAAGTCATGAGTTTGAGCATTTGGATTATGATACTAAAGGCCTAGTTACCGAACCTATACTTGTGTTCACTGTTAAAAGTAAACAGTGCCACCTGGCCTTATTACGTAGGTGGTAAATTCGAAAACATAAACTAGACACCTTAAAAGGTTGTGGTTTAGTAGGACTGATTTGACAGAAAACAGGTGTAAACATGTTTATCGACAGCTTGACAATATGGATCAGTAAGTTATTATTTTAAAGATTAGTTAAACAGAGAATCAAACAAAAAACATAGTTCATTAGAATGATAGAATACCAAAAAGGTTTAAGTGACACTAATTTATGTGAAAACAGTAAGCACTAATGAAGTGGTCCATCCATGGAGACAACGATAGCTCCGGAATTAAACCATCTAGATCAGAGAACACACTATTAACGGATTAAAAGATTTAAAGAGAATGCATTTATGTTAAATACAAGGATTACTAAGAGGCAAATTACCTGTGGAGTTAGTGAAGATGATCGATGCAAATTTAAAATCATAGAATACGTGACCCTGAATCTTGAAATTAATTCTGTTTGTCTTCCAAGTATCATATTTCGCAAAAGACTCTCAGTCGGTAGACCAGTGACAGATGATTTTAACGATTTACCAATAGTACTAACCAAAATAATTACAAGACCTTTGGCGTCTATACCACGACGACCTGCTCGACCAGCCATTTGAGTAAATTCACCTAATAACAATAATAGTAATAATAATAACAACAATGATGATATTTTATGGAAAATAACACTAGAAATAAATGGAAATATCATTAAAGTTTGATTTAAATAAAAGATTAAACATGAAACTTTGAACGAATTGAATTAGTGAAAAGGATAGATAACAGACAGCAATATTATACAATCAAACAGAAAATACATATGAACGATCATTAAAGTAATGATGTAAATTTCCTAAATGCATTCAATATAAAAGCTCAGCGGTTGATATCCTTTAAATAATACTAAAGTAAGCAGATTTTTAACCAAATTGAAAGAGTAGTGTAGGAGCACTAACAATAATAGTAGTAGTAAAAACAGCTAGGTATAAAAAATGCGAAGAAAACGATCAGCTCAATTGAAACAAACACTAAAAAAAGTTAATGAGGGACTTTTGGTCTCACATGGACGATTAACCTCTAGACCACTAAACTGGGAGCCGACGGTGTTGATGTCTAACTTCAACCAATCCGCGATATTGCACGACTATCTTTCATTTTCTTTGGTAGATAACTGTCTCACACCCAACACGGTTGAACCCCACTGGTCACAGATTCACACAAAGTTAGTCACTAGTGGGTATATGATAATCATCAGTATAGGGTTGTGGAGATTGTTGGGTTTTAATTAGGATCATGAACCGATCAATGTCCCATACTAGGACAAAACGGCCATTCAGGTTTTTAGTGGTGGTCTAACACTGATTGATTCATGATCTAAATTAAAATTTAAAAATCCCCACAACCCTATACTGATAATCTTGATTATATGATACAATACCACTTCATTTTCTTCGATTTTCATATCCGACACTTGGATAAGTTTGATTATCTTCGATAACTTTGCAACACTCCCCCACTTTACTATAAACTACTACATATAAAAAATTACCTGTAAATACGACTGTACAGCTTGAGAAAACGATACTGTCAAGAAAATTTTCCTCGTTGAAATATCTTTTTTTAATTATAAATACGTTACTCAATTTTGTGTTAAAAATCATTTTAGTTATGCATTTTTTTATGGTTTATTATTTGTCATGTGCACTGGTATTTTATCTTATTTGTATAGTGACCATATGAATCGTGATTAATATGATCATTTGTCCAAATCTGAACGAATAGTTTGATAAATAAATTGGTACATTATGAAAATAACAGTGTCAGCAATTGGGTGAAGTCATTTTTCACTGCGATGAACCGCGTCCACTGTGGAACAGTTCAGTACGTGAGATGAAAAAAACATAAATATACCAAACGTAAGGGCTGGAAATGAAATCTTTGATGAAACTTAAATTTTAATGTATAGCACTCCACTTACCAATTAAATGGACAGAAAAAATGACAAGTACAGTGTACGGTATACTTTATGGACTTCACCAGATCACACTACACAGAACCAAATCGACCACATCTGCATCAAAAAACTTTCAGAAGGATGATGGAGGATGTGAGAACCAAGAGAGGGACCGATATAACATCAGATCATCACTTGCTGGTCGCCAAGATGAAATTGAAACTTAAGATGCACTGGACAACGGGGCGGCCAACACCATAAAAGTTTAATAGGGCTTTCTTCGGGATACTGACAAACTCAACAAATTCAAGATAGTCCTCAGCAATAGGTTCCAGGCCTTTCACGATCTACTCAGTGGAGGCGTAACTACTATCCAGAGCAACTGGAAACGGATAAAAGAGGCAATCACTTCAACATGTCATGAGGTTCTCGGCCACAAGAAGCACCATCACAAGGAATGGATCACTGTTGATACATTGGATATAATTCAAGAAAAGAGAACCAAGAATGCAGCAATCAATACCAGCCGAACAAGAGCAGAGAAAGCCAAGGCACAAGCTGAATACACACAAGTAAACAAGCAAGTGAAGAGGAGCATCAGAACCGACAAATGTAAATATGTGGAAGATCCAGCAATGACGGCGGAAAATGCTGCAAGAAAAGGAAAAATGAGACAATTGTATGATACAACAAAGAAACTCTCTGGAAATTATCGTAAACCAAAACGACTAGTGAAAAGCAAGGAAGACAAAGTAATCACCAACATCGAAGAACAGCGAAACAGGTAGGTATAACACTTCAAAGAACTCAAATCCACCAGCCCCACTGGACCCACCCAACATCGAAGCAGCGCCCACGGTCCTCCCAATCGATGTTGGCCCACCAACAATTGAAGAAATCATCATGGCTATCAAACGAATCAAGAGTGGCAAAGCAGCAGGACCAGACAACATTCCAGCAGAGGCACTGAAAGCAGACGTAGCAGTAACTGCAAGGATACTCCAAATTCTCTTTAGCGAGATTTGGGATGAGGAACAAGTACCAACAGATTGGAAAGAAGGATACCTGATCAAAACACCAAAGAAAGGCGATCTCAGCAACTGTCATAACTACAGAGGCATCACTCTTCTCTTAATACCAGGAAAAGTCTTCAACGGGGTATTGTTAAACAGAAGGAAGGGCTCCGCAGACGCCCAACTTCGAGACCAACAGGCTGGATTCCGTAAGGATAGATCGTATACAAACCAAATCGCAACACTACGGATCATTATGGAACAGTCAATTGAATGGAGTTTACCACTCTACAGCAATTTTATTCACTACGAGAAAGCATTCGATAGCGTGGACAGGACAACACTATAGAGGCTTCTTCGATACTACGACATACCTGAGAAGATAGTCAGTGTCATACGGAATTCCTATGATGGATTAAACTGAAAGGTCGTGCATGGAGGACAGCTCACAGACTCGTTCGAAGTAAAGACCTGTGTCAGGCAAAGTTGCTTACTCTCACCCTTTCTCTTTCTCCTGGTGATCGACTGGATCATGAAGATGTCAACATCTAGGGGGAAGCATGGGATACAGGGGACAGATAAAATGCAGCTGAACGATCTAGACTTCGGAGATTATTTGGCTTTTCTATCGCACACGCAACAACAAATGCAGGAGAAAACGACCAGTATAGCAGCAGCCTCAGCAGCAGTAGGCCTCAACATACACAAAGGGAAAAGCAAGATTCTCCGATACAACACACCATGCACCAATCCAATCACAATTGACGGAGAAGATTTGGAAGATGTAAAAACCTTCACATATCTGGGCAGCATCGTTGATGAACATGGTGGATCTGATGCAGATGTGAAGGCGCGGATCGGCAAAGCAAGAGCAGCGTATTTGCAACTGAGGAACATCTGGAACTCAAAACAATTGTCAACCAACACCAAGGTCAGAATTTTCAATACAAATGTCAAGACAGTTCTACTGTATGGGGCGGTAACCTGGAGAACTACGAAAGTCATCATCAAAAGAAGACACGAGTGTTTGTTAACAGCTGTCTACGCAAAATACTTCGGATCCGTTGGTCAGACACTATCAGCAACAACCTACTGTGGGAGAGAACAAACCAGATCCCAGCTGAGGAGAAATCAGGAAGCGCTGGAAGTGGATAGGACACACATTGAGGAAAGCACCCAACTGCATCACAAGGCAAGCCCCCACTTGGAATCCTCAAGGCCAAAGGAGGAGAGGAAGACCAAAGGACGCGTCACACCGAGAAGTGGAGACAGACATGAGAAGAATGAACAATTGGATGGAACTAGAAAGGAAGGCTCAGGACAGAGTGGGTTGGAGAATGTTGGTCAGCGGCCTATGCTCCACTGGGAGTAACAGGCGTAAATAGTAAGTAAACGGTATATTTAGTGAACATTGGAGATGTTATAGATAACCTCAGCGTCTATCACAGCATATTTAAACTTGAAACGATACAATCAGATGTTAGAGAATCTAATTTATCTATAGTGGTTGTATATTAGTGATTAGATATTAATTATTGTCCCATAAATTATGCATATATATAATGCTTAAAAAAGCTGCCTGACTATATATTACGCTATAATACTTACTTGGATCCAAAGAACGTTTAATATGACCATCAAATTTTTCAAGCGACGTAAAGACTACACAACGTGCAGGTGTATTAACTCCTGTAGAAACTGTTTCTGTAGCGAAAAGAATTTTCACTAAACCAGCTCTAAATAAAAGTTCCACCGTCTAGTGGATATAAATGATTAACAAATAAAGAAAAGTAGTTATTATTGAAAGAATCAACGCAAATGTACAAAAGCATCAACATTAGTTATGTTGTTCAACCTGGAATGTATGTGTATCACACTATATCACCACAGAAATATTCTACAATGATAGAAATAGTGACGACAATAGTAGTATTAGAGAAGATTAGCCATACAAGACATTATGCAAAGTGAGAGGAGAACACAGAGGAAAAGGAAGCAAATGTAAGTAAAGTGATCATGGATATTTTAATCAATCTTACTTGATGTAAGTAAACAGTTTAGATTTTGGAAAAGTTGGAGATCGATAGGTAACAATATGGGCTTGAATAATGTATAAGATGCTGCGAATGGTATACACACAGGAACTATTCAAAATAAAGTTATATTTTCTCCTAGAAAATCTTATAAAAAGATCGTGGTTAATGTCGATATAGTTATATAGTTACTGAACCAACCAACAGCACACTGTTAGGACAAAAAGCGAGGTTTGTATTTTGGATCTCACACTGGATACAAGATAGAACGCTAGATACTGGATTACTATACTAGACACAATAACTTAATCGGTCGGATTAGAGTGAGAGCTGAAACAATGACCTCTACATAACACGATACTTGATAGAGTAAGTACAGTCACAAAATTGTGCGGGGCAACAATCCAAACCTAGATATAAGCTAGTGTCCGGGAGTTTCAAAATATCCCTCGTCGAAGTCCCTAGAGGCCCACAAAACGACAGAAAATCTTTTATCTAATCAGTGTTGAATAAAAGCTCCTCAGAACATAGAAAATGAGGAAACACATGTCATGTTTACTGACATAGAAATTTCTAGAGACTCAAGGTTACCCTTAATTTTCGGCATATTAGCTAAACTAAAAGTAAGCTTCTACTCATATTTCGTATATTTTCTTTATTGGTCCAGTCGACGTGTGAAAGTGGTTTGGGGTTATAGAAAGCGGCTGCGAAGGTGGTAGTAAGCGTCCCAGTAGCAGACTTATCAGCTGGAACAATGGTGTATTAACCCACAGAACAAAAGTAATCAGCAAATTTACTCAACGTGAAGCACCGTACATATCACATATACATTGTTTCATGATACATAGCGATTTAGGAAAGTTATGCGTACCGAGATTATTGAGAATGATCTCACTGAAGAACGACATTGTGTATGGATAAGTGATACATTTAAATATTGATTTACCGTGATCATGAACTTTACTATTAACTCCTTCCATTTTTTTACAGAGGTGCTCTTAAAACTTCTAATCTATATTTGTCATTTACAATTTTTTCACCACGTCGAGTACAAATATCAACAGTGAAATTGAATTCAGAAAAGAACAGAAGTATTCAAACAGCAAAACTATTACTCACTTCTTTTAATATAGGTAACATCCCGCTATGATGAACAGCTAGTCCTCTTCTAGTTAAATCATGAAGAAATTTAACTGAAGCAAGTTTTCGATCACATTTTCTTAAGCGACCAGTAATTGTAGAGAAAAACTTCGTAATTTGTTGTTTTTCAGCTAAATAAAGAATATACATACAAATACCATGTGAATTGGTAAGTGTTATTAGTTGACTATAGTTGATATTCAGATCCGGGAAAATTGTCGCGAAATGTAGAGTCATGTTACAAGTTCCGGAAGATTTAGTAATTGGCTAACAATAAAATCCAGAAAAAGTATTTCGTTCGGTTTGTGACCCGTGAGACAGATGCACCTAACTTTCACAATAATAGTCAAACACAGAACCTTTGCTTCAAATGCCAAAGTTCATATAATTTATGAACCCCAACTAGAAAGAAACACAAACTCTAGATTCCACATTAAGTCAAGAATCGTCAGAAATACGAATTTGTACTCAATCGCATATCACAAAAAATACCATTACTACTAATTAAAATTGTTTGTTAAGGCTAATTCGTCTAAGGAAGAGATAAGGGTGTTAATTATGACCAAAAAGATTTGGATTTTTAGCTTGAATCCTTAGAGCTTTTGCTATATGTAAGAGGTGAAACTGAGTACTCTTGTCATGCAATTTTGATAATTTTTCGTAAATCTTATTTCAGTGTCTACCTTTTCCAAGTCATTGACCTACCTCCTTTTATGAAACATTGATTCAAGCTTTTATTATTATCAGCACAATTAGTACACCTATCATTGACCTGTCAATTTGTACTTTTTACCAAATATGTTTATTGATGTAATTTATTCAACTGTTATCATTGTCTCATAAGCTGGCTTGATCGGTTTAATAATTCCATTCATTTATTTAAACACATAAACATTGGCACAAGGATGCACCAAATATATATGAGGGCTGGAATACTGTCCTGGCGCCCAAACCGAAGCAGATAATAATTTTATAAATGCATATAAGCATTTTGTATTAAAGACTGGTGAAGATCTAATTCAAAGAAATATTGTTCGCTAATATATGTAGTTCTAATTCACAATATAGGAATTTTTAGTACTTTAAAATCCATTCAATAAAGATTTTAAAACGCTGTGTCGAAATTGTCAAAGATGAATTCCTAGGTATTCATAGAAACCATGGGTATTTGCGAATACAGACCTTCTCTATGTCTATAAAACACAATATGTCGTAACCTTAGATCGTCGCCGGTAATCCTCTACACAATTTTACGGCCAATAAAAGTGTGATAACATTTACTCTCGCTCCGTATTATATTGATTTTTTCTCTCTCGATTATTTATAAGCGTTTAACTGACCTCCACTTGTTTCTACACACAAATGCCTTGACAAATACATGTGTGACCACATTATCCGAAATGTATCGTGTAAATACAACTTGTTTTTTTTTAAACAGAGCACGTCTTTACATTGCTTTATCAACCAGAATGTAAACTAACTAAGAAAGGAAACTCTAACGATTTCAAAACCCCAAAAAGAATAAGATAATCGGAAAAATATCTTGCAAAACAGCAACAACACATCACGTACATTTACTTGTTAAGTCTACTGATGATAGATTTTTAGCTAATGTTTCAGCGGATGATCGAGAGAATGTAAACGCTATCGCAGGCATAAGATTTTGTTCTTTTAGTAAATTAACAAATCCAAGCCATGTATTTTTAGTATGCATAATGAAAGCATCTTTCCCTCTACAAGCTATGACAAAATAATGAAACAAAAATAATTAAATTATCTAATAGTTGTGGACAATTTATATAATATCAGTCAAAGAGATCCTTTTAATGATATATATATATATACATATTTGCGACTCATGTTGATAAAACGTAGAAGCAAAAAGTTGAATACGAGTAGTGTTGAGGATGTATATTTCCTGCATATGAATTATCAGACAGATAGTATGAATGAATCGATGAATAAAACATGATATTTGACTATTACTAGCCAAAAAATGTTTAGTTACGTGTCAATAAGCTTATGTAAGAAAACACATAAAGAGTGATAAAGACAAATGAAGTATGCATAAATAGAAATGCCCACAGATGAATACATACAATCTGAACAATATGACAGTGATGACACATAAAGAAGTTCGATAACTTTGCATAACAATTTTTATAAATCTGCAATATGAATTTACAATATGAATGGATTTTTGATTAAGTGTTTACATGTTCAAGTGTATATGGGCCGTTATATTAGCATTAATGACAATGAGGCCTAGTTATTATTATTATATGAACACATAGATATTGGTACAAGGAAGTACCAAATACATATGTGCCACACAAATCTCATTTGATTTGTGTGAGGGCTGTGATACTGCCCGGATGCCCAAACTGAAGCAGGTGGTATTCCTAAGGCGCCACACTCAGAGCGTTCGACCTAAAGGTCTGATCCACAAGGCAGTGGAGCAGATGCAGTCTTATAGCAGCCGGTGACCAACGATTGGTTCATACACCATTTGTCCCTTCAGGATACTGGAGCCCATATGTACTATCGGTTTGGAGTCAGGGTCTTCCACTCCCCTAGGTGGACTCTCAGTGTCCACCAACCCGGTTAAAGCACCGGAAATTCGCTTTTCGTCCTCTCAATTTTGTAAACAACACCCGCAACACAGGAAGGCAGTGAGTAGGACTTCCCTGGCAGTGGCTGTATACGCGTGGCTATGTGAGAGCATTTCGAGAGAGAGCTAATTCTCCCACCCTCGGCCGTACCACGGCATTTTGGGGCATGAGGCCTAGTTACTAAGTATAAAATATTTGAGAAGAATCTTGAAAATAACCTCAACATCTTAATCATTAAAACAAATCTAAACTAGTCTAGACAAAGCAACTGTTTTAAAAATTGTCTGTAAACTATTAACTCTTAGCTATAAAACTTCATAATTTCTACTTGTATATCAATGTTAAAATATAAAAATGTATTAGATGTATAGGTAAAAAAATTTACAAAACTTAACAAAGAAATGACCTAAGTATTTTTTTAAGAAAAAACTGAACTAAACGAACAATTATCCTGAGTGCTGCTAAGATATATTGAATGAAGAATTTTAATGAACATTCTTCTCTTAACAATAATGTTTAACATTTAAATTTGCATTATATCGGTAGTCTGTTGTATATATACTTAATCGAATCTTACGATCAAGTTGGAAAATAACCCTGTGTGGGTTTGGGATACTTTTACGGTTACGAAAGCTTCCAGGTGGATAAATTTGCAACTTCATGAATAGAATTCTATCGGTCTTAAAAGGGCTAAACAAGCATTGTAATAGCCACTACTCAGTCACCGATCAATTGTACATATGTTATTCTTACGAGAGTTCCGTAGCGGTCCAAATAGCTCGGTGGTAACGTTTCAAACTGTGAGTAACTGCTATAACGAGATAAATATTAAGCAAAGTTGAACTTCAAGAACTTTCCTATCCAAAGTTGTTTGTATTTTTGTAGTATAATCTTTAAATACTGAAATAATTGTAGTTTTGTACCTTCCTGTTTGTAAGCTTTTCCGTGATTCCTAAGCTGTTGCTATGTTTCGTACCTCCCTTAAGTTACTGTTACTTTATCATGAACCCATTACTCAAACCTTTTTACATTTGGACAGTAAATATCGCCACATGATCATCATTTTTTAATTAAGTTGATATGAGCTCAAGAACTTACTTTATATGAGTTGAGTCATGAAAATGAACTGTGTAATTAGAATTTCACTACCTGCTGTGTTGTGTTCTATCATGGCTCTCTGGTGAGTTAGTGCTTATAAGTCCCAAGAGGCACAAAATCTAAGTCTGACATTTCTTTCTTGACACTTCAAAAAAGGTGCTCAACGACTCACTGTCCCTTCAAATGGTATGTATCTCGATAATTGTAGACGACTAAAACTGATTTTCTGTTCACAAAACATAATGCGCAAAAACTTTCATTTTACTACTGTTGGTACGTTTTATGCACACATACAATACATATAAATACACATAAAACATGAGCAACCCAAAAAGATTGCTTAATATGATTATACTTTCGGATTTATGATGTTTGAAATATTAACCATCAAATGCAAACCAAAATCTCATGATCGATAAATAGCATTGCTTTTTTGGTAGTGTAAGAGAAATATGCAGGGATGGATGCAATGGTACAAGAGTTACAATCGATATGGTGAAGATTTAAGGTAAATAACTAAGCCTTAATATTAATTAATTGGTAAGTGCCTCTCGAAAATTAACAGTACCTTGATCCAAAGATAGATTTTAACTGAAGAACTACTGAGAACCAATGAGCTGCAACACAAACCTAACTGAATTTTATTATATGTATCAATGAGGTTATGAATTCGTGAGATCTAAAAATCCCAAAGTATTTTGTTAAAGGTTAGTGCTGATGATAAATTTAATAGTAATGAACAAAGATCTCTGATCAAGTGAATTTTAATTCAAAATAGCTTGTTTCATTTCATGATGGCGATCATTCAATAAAATTTGTACGAAATCTAAAAAAACACATATTTTTTTAAATATTAATAATATACATGACAAATTTGTTGACGATAATCATCGGATAGAATTAGATTTATTTTAAAACTAATCAGTCACTGAGTAGTGACCAATACCATATTTATTAATTCCTTTAATATTGATCACATCGTATTTGTCAAGTTGGGAAGTGGCTACTAGTTCAAGTGACTCGACACCCATGCACTATGTTGAAATGTCCAGTGGTTGGAGATAGTCGAGAGGAAACCGTGAAAAACATAGGTTCCACGCCAAACAACACTCGTCAGCAAGGTGTACCCTACAATCTTGAGAGAATTGGTGCTTCTTAATGAATATGAACATGTGTCACCTGATCTCCCAGCCTGAGACGTTACCACCGAGCTATTCCAACGATGTTTCTTGTTTAATACCCCTAAACCTCCAACATATTTTATTACTGTATTATATGTAACTTGAATAAACTTACCAGGAGTACGATATGATGATCCTCCGAAAATTTTCGACAAAGAAGCTGCCTGATAACCTATAAACGGAAATAAATTGCAAACATTATACAATATGTGCTGCGTACTTTCCTTTTTCTATAAGCGCCACACACGTCACTTGATTTGTGTCAGTCAGTCACAACGTAGGATCAGGCACATATATCAGTCAGTTAGTAACAACGTAGAACTTCGTACGTACGTACGTCAGTTCAAGGTGCCACATCACATTAGCACAGAGATGCAGTGGTAGATTCAAATCGCGTAGTGGTAGAGGTAGCAAAAGTATAGGTAGTAATCGGAAAGATTAGGGTTTGAAGATGTTCGTTAAGAAGTATAATACAGTGAAATAAATTTGGAAAGAGAAAAAAAGGGACATGAAGAATTCAGAAGGCTACCACTTGGGAGAACACAAAGAGTGGATGCACCTGCGCCATTGCAAACGATTTTGAGCCATATCATTTAAGGTCTCTAACCATCGGTTGTTATCGTCTCGCTGATCCCAACCAGGTAGTCTACACCTACCAATATGACTCAGTTCACTTGTCAGTGACTTCATGGACTTGTGCCATGTTTTGGTCTGGCCGCCCCTAGCTTTCTTCCAACCTACTCCTGTACCACTGAACATCGCACGTCGAAGCAGTCGGTCGTTGGGCATACGTAACACATATCCCAGCCATCTCAAATGATGAAGTTTCACTACTTCATCAATTGATTTGCCATCCTTACCTAGTACTCGTTTCCTAACAACTGTGTTACTTACTCGATGGTCCCATGATATACGGGAAATGTTTCGAAGACACCTATGATCAAATACTAGTAACCTACGAATATACTCTACTCTTACCGGCCATGTTTCACTGCCATAAAGTAGGACGGAACGAACTGCTGCGCAGTAAACACGTCCTTCGGTTGATAGACAGATATCTCGCCTACGCCATAAATGACGCAAGTTGGCAAAAGCTAATCGAGCCTTCTGTATCCGCGCTGAGATTTCGTCACACGCCAGGCCACAAAGACTGATGAGAATTCAAAGATTAGTGAAGCGGTCGACACGCTCAACTACTTCACTCCCTATCACTAGTTCGGGTGTCGATGCAACCCAATCCTGAAGCAACATTTTGCATTTTGAGGGAGAGAATCGCATCCCGAACATGCTTGCATTGTTGCTCATGGTGGTCAGAAGACGCTGCATTTTGTCAGCGTCTTCACCAAATAAAACTATGTCATCAGCATATTCTAAGTCAACAAGTGAACCTCCCGGTAGAAGTTCAAGCCCTGGAAATTTAGATGAGGAGAGTGTTATCTCTAAAAGTACGTTGACCACAAAGTTGAACAAGAATGGGGAGAGTGGACAGTCCTGACGAACACCACTTAAGGTAATCAATTTTGATGACAGTTCGCCATAAGCTCTCACTCTACCAGTTGTGTTCGAGTAGAGAGCCTTTATAAGGTTAATGTACTTCTTTGATACTCCTTTCAGTGACAAACACTGCCATAGAACCTCACGATCAACAGAGTCGAATGCCGCCTTAAGGTCGAGAAATACTACCATTGTGGGGCGTCTGAATGTGTGTCTGTGTTCTAGAACCTGACGTAGTGTGAACATCTGATCTATACAACCACGTCCAGGTCGAAAACCAGCCTGATTTTCTCTAATCTGCTCTTCACGAGCTTTAGTTAGGCGTTGAAGTATTATTGAAGCTAATATTTTAGACACTATATTAGTCAAACTGATTCCTCTGTGATTGTCACAAGAGGACTTTTGTCCTTTCTTATAGACTGGCACAATCAGTGATTGAGACCAGTCAGATGGGATTACGTCCAGTTCCCAAATTCTACCTAAGACCTCAGTTAATCTCACTGCTGATACTGGACCACCATCCTTAAATATCTCAGGAGTAAACCTGTCAGGACCTGCTGCTCTCCCACGCTTCAGATTTCTTATGGCTTTTTCAACTTCGTACATTAACTTGCCATTCAGGTTGACTAGAGATCGTGGGAAACCGAAGTGTAGCTGAAGGCCAGTTGAACTGATCCCTAAAGTGTTCTGCCCATCGATCCAATCTCCTGGATTGAGAATGTATATGTCCATCTTTCTCTGAGAATGTTTCGCTAACAGTCGGGTTTATTTATTTATTTATTTCAACACATAGATAATGGTACAAAGAGGCACCAAATACATATGCGCCACACAAATCTCATTCGATATGTGTGAGGGCTGTGATACTGCCCGGGTGCCCAAACCGAAGCAGGTGGTTTTCTTAGGGGGCCACACCCCGAGCCTTCGACCTGAAGGTCTGATCAACAATTGTCTGTTATTACCTATTGCCGCTGCCTTTTCCATCTCTCTTGCTTTCGCTACCCACCACTGTTCACGATCATTGCGTAGACTTCTTGTCAGCTTGCGCTTAAGCTGACTCCGCTCTTCATTATGTTCAGAGCCAGGTGAGTTTCCGAGCATCTATCAGTGCGATAGATGCTGCTGAGATCCAGTGGTGCTCCCTAACCTTCTGGTTTACCTTACTAGCAGATATCACTGCTGTTTCCACAGCTTTTCGGATATCATTCCATGCTGCCTCGGGGTGGGCATCACATACATGGCTGCCTAACTGCTTTCCTAGTTGTTCCCCAAATATACTCTTAGCTTGACTATCATTAAGTAGGCCCCTAAGAGGTTTCCTTGCAGTGTCTTTCCTACGTCCAGTAAGACGCAAGCAAATACGTGCTCGCACTAGAGCATGATCTGGAACTAAGCATGTGCTCCAGAATGAGCGACAGTCTTCTATCGAGCCCCTCCATCGGTGGCTGATAGCGATGTGATCTATTTGGGTCCAACGTTGGGACGAATTAAGAGGTCGCCATGTTAAAAGATGTTTTTCCTTATGCTTAGAGTTAGTATTTGCAAGGAACAGGCGGTTATTTGAGCATAGCTGCAACAGACGGTCGCCATTATCTGTTCTTTGAGCCACGACACCATAAGATCCACCTAGGTGTCTTTCCCTATCGCTTAGTTTACCTACTTGAGCATAAAAGTCACCGGCCACTATGACTACATCAGAGCGCCTAGCTTTTCGGAGAAGGTCGGAAAGCTTTCTGTAAAACTCATCTTTTACATCATCTGAGCTGCAGTCAGTGGGAGAATAGGTAGAAACGACGAAGAGGCAACGACGAGTGTCCTATCTTTCCGGATTCTTACTGTTCCGTTCAGTCGGACAGCGCACAAACGGCTGTCTACTGGGATCCACTCTAAGAGAGCTAGTTTTGCCCTAGGACTCAATGCTGTACCTACGCCGGCGAGGCCACGGGAAGCAGAATCAGGGCTTCCAGATACACGAAGCGTAAATCGAGTCGGTTCTTTATTTTGGCATGGTGAGGTTAAATGAATGACGCTACTCGGATCTTGTATGCGCGTTTCGGAGACGCAGCACACATCGATGGCGCGAGATTCTAAAGTCCTAGCTAAGGAAGCCTGCTGTCCTATTTGGCACAGTGTTCGTACGTTAAAAGCTCCTACGTGTAGTTTAGAGCGTGGTTTCAGGAGACCAGGAATAACGTTCCGCGTACTCGAATCGTTTGCCCTAGCGGTGCGAGGTGATAAAGAGACGTGAGGAGGGCTAGCGGTGGAGATGATAGAGTTATTAGGAGGTGTAGGAAGGATTTGAATGTGACTAACTTGGTCTCGTGTGCTGTTACGGGTATGAGGGCTGGTGTCATTTCCCGGCTGCCCACACCGTGGAAGGGTATTTCTTGAGGAACATGAAAAGGAAATTGGATTAATGTTGGCCTTAACTACCGCAGAGCCCAAGGGACAGCTGCTTGAGGCCGGTCGCGCACGGCCTTTTCGTGGAAGGTTTTTAGTGTGTTAGCTCCGTTCTTCAAAGGGCCTTACCGCCGGAGACGGAAATCCGTGAGGTAAGGTGAGGTGTGACATTTTTAGGGTCGACCTTTTCTAACCCCACCCCTCCTTGTGGGAAGGCAGCATCACTGCAGATGCTGGTTGTCCGAGGGAAACACCTTACTGCTGTCACAGCCCTCTACAGTCAGCAGTACGACTTTGCCCTCAGACCTTGAGTTGCTGCTTTTAGTCTTACCGTTCACCAATCGACCTGCCTGGCATGGTAGAACCTACAGGAACATATGTTCCAGACAATATAGCTCGGTTGCGTCATCACGATAGCCAAGCCCGACCACCGCGTTAAGGTAGCAGCTTAGGTCGGGAGGCACATATATGCATCGGTCCAAGTTGACATCCCTCATTAACACAACAAGATGGACACCGAATTCATAAAAGTAGTTAATTCAGAGGTGGTAATATACAAAAGAAAGATCGCAATACGGATATAGTACAAGAAGAAAGAATTAGTTCGTAGAAAGAAAGGCAGAGATTGTATACACTGGCGCCATTGTAATCGATTCTGAGCCATGTCACCAAGACTCTCCAAACATTGGTTACGATAGTCACGCGGAACCCAACCAAGCAGTCGGCATCTACCAACATGGCTGAGACTAGAAGTTAGTACTTGATTTGTGTGAGGGCTGTGATACTGCCCGGATGCCCAAACTGAAGCAGGTGGTATTCCTAAGGCGCCACACTCAGAGCGTTCGACCTAAAGGTCTGATCCACAAGGCAGTGGAGCAGATGCAGTCTTATAGCAGCCGGTGACCAACGATTGGTTCATACACCATTTGTCCCTTCAGGATACTGGAGCGCATATGTACTATCGGTTTGGAGTCAGGGTCTTCCACTCCCCTAGGTGGACTCTCAGTGTCCACCAACCCGGTTAAAGCACCGGAAATCCGCTTTTCGTCCTCTCAATTTTGTAAACAACACCCGCGACACTGGAAGGCAGTGAGTAGGACTTCCCTGGCAGTGGCTGTATACGCGTGGCTATGTGAGAGCATTTCGAGAGAGAGCTAATTCTCCCACCCTCGGCCGTACCAGGGGATTTGAGGACTTTCTTTTAAAGTGAGTACACGGGAAGGACCACACAATCTACTGATAAGAGTAGCGGTGCTTGCAATGGCAGTTCTTACATGATAAGCTTACTTATTAAAAGAAGACCAGGTTGCACGACAAAATACAAGAATACCTGTTAAAATAAGACTCACAGGCTCCAAACAGTGGTTTGATAAAGTGCTTCGTAAATGACAGAGGGACTTCAGTCTATGCACGAACTTCAGGTGGTGCTTAAATGACCTTAAGAATGTCCAACTACTTGCTGGAACTACACAAACGTTGTAGATTTGTGTGAAGAATCAGGACAAGGATTGACAATTGAATGTCAGGGTTAGGAATTGGAGTTGAGGCTTTCACTATGAACTGACATCATTCGGTGCCTAAATACCAATTAGCTTTATGGATAAATGAATTTTGGAACAAAATTCAAGGCCTGATATATTCTTTCAGGTCGGTTCGTACATAAATTAACGGTCTCGCCCAAAATGACTAGTATAGTAACCCTAGAAATAAGCATTATACAAGCATGAGCTGAAGACAAAATAAGGGCTAGCAGAAAAATAATCGAACGGAAAAAACACTGAGATGAGGAACCGCAACCATAGCTCCCCACACTATATTCGCTATATGAATACGACTTAAACGCACTACACGTAGTAACAGAATAACAGGAAATGATTTGTATAAATTTTAAAAATAACACAACAGTTGAACAGTATATTAAACACGTTAAGCATTAACAAGCGAACGAATAACAGGCGATAGCTAAAGTATTTCACCTAATGATAAATGCAGCAACAAGTTTTGAGGTACAACATAGAGTTAAACTAAAAACAGTAGGCAAAGATGTGAACTAAGACGTAGAACAGCGATCTAATTACAGAACTCCTAAAATAACGAACCACCACATGGATCACAGAGACACAAGTGAACTGAAATCTTGCTGAACGTTTTATCGCTAGATGAACCCACCCAACTTCGTAAATTTGAATAACAACCATAAAATGAAATTCAACATCCACTACGCGAAAACAATTAGAATGACAAATTATTATACACTCACTGATTTATTGCAAAAATACTCAACCATAAATATCATCGGCGAAGACATCACCGAAAGCAACGCTGATCCAAAACAGGTTTTCATGGTGGGAGACGGTCATTGTTATTCAACCAGTGACCAACTACTCCTCACCGGCCACCAAAGCGACTCTTCCGTACATAGAGGCCTTATCGACACATTCAAATCTCTAGATAACACTTAAACATCTGTCAAACGCGATTTCTTATGATCATTTAACTCGTGTTAGAGCTAATCCTCGATTGTATCCGGTCGGCAATTTGTTGGGGCGTAGGCATTGATAACGATATAAAATCGTATTCCATTTTCGACTTCTCGCTCTGACGGAACTTTTTAATCTTGAGACACACTGACTACTGTTAATTTGGGTCTAATCGATTTGGTACAGGGGCGCTTAACAAACCCAATAAAAACTGATTAGGAAGCATTATTAAGTTTTGATACCATAAGAAACATGTGGTAACCTGACAAATTATATTCCTATTGACAAAGCATACAAACTTAATACAATAGAAAATAGTTACCATCATAGGTCATGGCTCTTCATTTGAAAAGAATCGTTGACATGAGATTGTTAAACAAATCGATAACTTCATGAAAATGAGTCAGTCAGTATTTTACCCATGAGCGCAAATACTATGAAGGAATACGTGACAACTTATTTCCTTATTCTGACGTGTAAACGTTACCTGAATCTATAAAGCGACCATCTTTGTCTACAATAAGGTGAAGGTGGGATGTATATTGTTCCGTCATGCCAGTATATAGGTAATGTTCCAGTGGAACAGGGCGTTTATCTGTTGCGATGACATGAATCTCACAACCTCGTACACGTCCTAACCAATCAGCTATTTCATAATTATTTGGTACAGTGGCGCTTAACATTACTAGTAGAATATGCTTAGGAAGCATTATCATAATCTGTTCCCATACGTAACCTCTGTCTGGATTATTAATATAATGTACCTAAAGAGAAAAAGGAAAGGAAATAAAAAATTATAACAGTAACAATAATAACAATAAAAATTACAATAATGATAATCAAGCTTATTTATTAATCCAGCAATCTCTGATGAAGTAAACAGATAAACTAGACAAATGTAGAACACAGTTTGTTAGCTAATGAACCATTTCTTCACTGAAGAAAGAGTGAAAATAATCTGGAAAAATTAAATTTCAGAAGTAAAAGAGTCAAATTAGTGTAAAACTTCAAGTAAAAATCTCAACAACAATTAAACAACTACAAGTACGAATATAAACAGAAAGTTTCGACTAGGGACACATATGTCGGTGAACATGTGTTTTATCATAGGTATCATTACCAAGGTTTGGTTTGATAATTTCGATTAAATTGAGCATTGGGTAATAAGAATATTAATATCGTATGCGATTGCAAAATGATTGATTCTGTAGTTCATTCACTTGCTAGTGGGAATAAAACATTAGTCAATTTAACTCAATTATTGTTCTATCACGTCAGCTATGATCGACATAGAGCCTACGACAGTTGGCAACCCTAAAGAACACCACTCGCAGTTCAAAATTCTGGTAAACGTTGGTCATAAGCTTTGACTTGAGCAGTAATATTGTTATAGCGTTTACGTGCTTTTTTGTCATACCTTTCTATGACAAGCCATATCACAAAACCAACTCAATAAAGTTGAATGCCGCCTCAAGGTACAAAAGAACACTACAACAGTTGGGCGACGGTAAATTTCATTATGTTATAGGACCTGACATTTGTTCAATATATTCACGTTCATATCTGAAACTACCCTAGTTTCTTTTAACTTGTCTTTGTGAAACTGCAAACAAACGTTCGATAAATATGGTGGCTACTACCGTAGATATCCAGATTGATTATTGTGTAGTTATCACAAAACGATTTTGGTTCTTTCTTCCTCATAAGGCTAAAGTCCGTCATATCATTTAAACAACATAAACCTGGTTACTTTTAGGTGGTTATAGGTATGGGGTTGTGAAGATTTATGAATTCCACAGAAATCACGAACCGACCAAATCAAGATCACAATTGGAATCTCGGAAGCATTGGATGGACGCTTCATCCTAATATGGGACTCCTCAGCTGAGGGCAATCACTACCATACACGTCATCATCGAGTCCAGAAAATTAGATATCACGCACGGACGTCTAACTGATAAACCACTGAGCAGGTATGAAAAAGTGAACAAGTTTAACTACAACCAATTCACGATATAGCGCAACGTAAGTCAATCATTTTCAGTGTGTACACTCATCACAATCGACAAGGTCTAGCTCAATTGATCATTGCATCGAATTATAGCCCTGGAAACTTCCTCTTAAATCTAGTCACTAGTGAGCACATGATAACTATCAGTATGGATTTATGGATATTGTTGAATTTCATAGAAGATAACCACGCAATAACGTAAATCGATTGATATTAGACTCAGTGGTCTAGCGGTTAGAAGTTTGCACGCGAGACTGAAGGTCCTAGGTTCGATTCCCTGTTGCAGGGTCGTGGATGTGAACTTCTGAGGAGTCCCACACTAGGATGGAACGGCTGTCCGATACTTTCGAGTTTTCAGTGGTTGTTTAACTTTACTTGGTTTGTGATTTCGATGAATTGCAGTGATCAGTTATTGCAATAAGATTTATTCTAACGTAAAATAATACCTTTACAGTAATTTTTAGTCAACAGGACGTAATAAAATAATCATAACTGTGATAATAATTTCAAGAATATGGGCCCACGACGTTTGTGTTATTTGGAATACTATATGTTTTGGAAGGTATTTGAGCTGAAACCAAATAAACTTATGTTAGCGGGACATAGACTAGATTAAAGCATGCTCAATGCATGATTGCTTTGGTGCACGCTGATTGGCTAATTCTTATCCAATCAGCGCTAGTCGATAGTTGGAGAATATTCTGGATTTTTCTTATGTAAAAACTATAAATATACTGACGTTTTTCCCTATTGTGCTTCCTACTGGCTTCTGACTTGCTATTTGGAATATAATCTTTTTCCTGTTCAACCGTGTTTTGATTTAGGGACTTGTCGAGTGAATCTGTGTCCGAGAATACTAAGCAATAGGAATAGCTGGGCCATCAACCGCGTAAGAAAACAGGATTATAACAGTGGCGACGGGGAAAAACTAAAGAAAAATGGCGATTTCTTTAGAACAGTAGCGGTTAATATTACAGCACCAGCAGAAGTTGTTAGCCTTGCAACAACAACTATTGAGCACACTTTTCACTCGACCAGAAAATAAGAAATCTGTTTATGATGCAGTAACAGACATTTCAGAAGCATATCTAGTGGAGGGTTCAAATCCCTTTATACCTGAATCAGAACGTAATATTTTTAACGTGTCCGGCTCACAGCAAGAAAATACTGTGCTGAATGCTCATAAAGTTGTGGCAATACGAAATGATCAAGAGCCAGACCCTGTAGATGAAGCCCGGAGTCCAGAATTGAATGAAGCACTACTGGTCCTGTCTAGCTCTGAAAATAACTTTCAGCTAGAACAAATTTATGGTCCACGTGATATTAACCAAGAAAGCTATGGGGACTCGTATTCAGAAAATAACTGCAGTGACACAACGAACCCAATTATACCGAATGTTACTCAAAATCATTGTGAGACAGAAACTTATATTGAATCAGCTTATCCGATTTCTAATGACAATGCATCAGACATGGGTTCTCAGAACAATGCATGTTATTTTGATGAAATTTCTCATAAAAATCAGGAAAATATATCAGCTGAGTCAAATTATGGTCAAAAGTCTAATTTAATTTTGTTAGATGATGATTTCCGTAATGATCCATTATCCACTGATGAAATTCCTAATGGATTTGAAAGTAATGCTTCAGAAGAATTAAACTTTAACCTCAAATCAAAGGTCGTTCATTATCATCTAGTCGTTTCTAGTGGATCCGACATTCAATGCGAGAAACGTCGTTTAAATAAAGTCCTATTATTTGTAACTTGGAGATATAAGGATCCGACATTGTTTCGCGGAGGAGGAGAATGTTGGAGAATTAAAAGTTATGCATACTTTTTTTTAAGAAAAATCAAAACGCCGGGAACAGACATGTCAGTCTCTGTGCAAGGAAAAAGTGATAATTCTTCATTGCCTAGACGATGGACTAATCGGAAGCACAAGCCAGTCACTCAGTTGCAGTTGGACCCTAGCACCAGATCCTACGAATCTGCTCAGAGGGGAGGTGTTAGCGGGACATAGACTAGATTAAAGCATGCTCAATGCATGATTGCTTTGGTGCACGCTGATTGGCTAATTCTTATCCAATCAGCGCTAGTCGATAGTTGGAGAATATTCTGGATTCTTCTTATGTAAAAACTATAAATATACTGACGTTTTTCCCTATTGTGCTTCCTACTGGCTTCTGACTTGCTATTTGGAATATAATCTTTTTCCTGTTCAACCGTGTTTTGATTTGGGGACTTGTCGAGTGAATCTGTGTCCGAGAATACTAAGCAATAGGAATAGCTGGGCCATCAACCGTAAGAAGCAGAGTTATAACGACTTATCACAATTAACTGTCTTGTGGTACGAAATGTAGAAATTTTGACAATCATCTACAATAGTCTAGCCCGATGTTTTCCACAGATATGTAATTTAATAAAACAACATAATTATAACAAAATAGTTTTTATTAAACAACCTTGGTAATTAAATGATAAGCAATAGCTTACCTCGTCCAAGATTACAATTTCAAGATTTTTGATAATCTCAGATGCATTGCACAACATATTATATAATATTTCAGTGGTCATGACAAGTAGTGATGCTTCTTGAGCTAGTTTGATATCCCCAGTAATTAGTCCTACATTTTCACCAAATCTTTCCCTAGAGTAGTTGGTAAGTGGTAGACAAAACTGTGCTTAGTATATCCCCATATATATAAACTACGATAAAATACATATTAAACTATTATTTCACTAATTCAACAAAATGACTAACCTAAAATCATGAAATTTCTGATTGGAAAGTGCTTTAACTGGACTTGTATAGATGACACGTGAACCACGACGTAAACAAATAGCGCATGCGTATTCTGCAATCACCGTTTTACCAGACGATGTATGTGCTGAAACAAATACTGTTTTGTTGTTTTCAAGACAAAGAATTGCACGTTTTTGAAATGTGTCAAGCTCGAAATCCCAATGCAATGCTGGATTATGAATTAATTTTGTTAAGGTCGGGAGTGGTGTTACAGTATCCTCCTATGCAGAAAGTGATAATAATCATAGGAATGAAAATTTACAGATAATATGCATAAATGAACCTGTTAAAAACACTATGTAAATCAAAATACAAAATGTAGATCAAAATACTGTCGTTTCAAATAAACAAACTCATATTTCCATGCAGCGATTACATTTTGTTTCAACTTCAGTTTCAACTTTATATTGTATTATTAATTGGCGGTTAAAATGTCTCACTATATGAGATAAAAAGAAACGAACGTCTACTACACATATTTAAATCCATGAGGCCATTCATCGGTAAGGCTAAATGACACATTCAGTACTTGGACACGAAATTGACTCCTGATCGTTTTCTAGTTCCTCAGAAATCCCCTACGCTTGAACCTCAAACGAAAGACGAAAGGCAGGAAGTACGAAAAGATGCTTCACTTCAAAGGTTATTTTGAGTATAGAGAATAAGGATATTTATGGGTGATCTTGATATTCTGTAAGTCGCTGAAAATATGTCAAAATTGGAAACAATATCGCTAGTTGTTTAATCAGAAGAAGACACGAAACCAACCTTTTCTAGAGTTTTCTGGGAAGTCTCTGTCAAACATTGGCTGGCGGACGTATTTTTTCAACCTTCTCACAGTTTCTGAAGGCTTTTACGAGGAAATCTAGTAATAAACATCAATTAATTTGTACGGTGTCATTTTGATCAATTTGCTAATAAAACTGACCAATTCTAGACATCTTTAGTGAACGGATGTCATTCAAGAATTAGTTTTTTTTCATTAACAGAGTATATAACAGAAGTTGTTTATGTAATATTGGGTAAGGAAGTGTATACATTCTGGGTAATGTTTAAGTGAACAAAAAATAACCAAGTCATGCAAACGAAATTACTTAATCTGCCAGGTATTTGGTGAACTGATGCGAATACGTAAAATACTTTAAATAAAACACTTTGTCAACGTCCTCAACTGCAAAACGTTAGTAAAGAAAGTTCCACACAAAAATCAAAATGCTTGACTCGTTATCCACCCCACAACAAGCACATCTTGATCACATGATTACAACATGAAGATAATCAGTCAATAAGCATTCCAAAACATATTACATTACAAACCAATTCCAAGCTTTCTGAAATAAAAATGTATGTGAACCAATATGGAGATAATTAGAATAGGAGTTTATTTAGATTGCAGAGATTTATAGTTTACATAACATGATACTAGCTGCATAAATCTTTAGAATAAGGAACCGTGGGGCGGCCGTTTCGATCTAGAATGGAACTACCCGTCAGGGAGTATTCACGACCCCACCGAGGACTGAACTCAAGACCCCCAGATCTGAAGGCAAACGCCCAACATCAGACTACTGAGTCTGGATTCAGAAGTATACATCACCGGCTATAATCGAACCTTGATATTACGCGAACACCTTACAATGTCATCGGTGGATAAATGTCAGACACCCCACAAGGTTGAATTAAATATCTCACTAGAACACGGAGAATAATCTGTCGCAATCAGCCACTAGTGATGAACGAAGACTTAATAGTATAAAGCTTTAAGCTGAACACTAAGCCCGTAGGCCCTCAGTTCGATCTAAAGTGAGATGGTGGGTGCCCGCTTCTGAGGAGCCCCGTACCATCATAAAACAGCTGTCCGGTGCTTGATGGTTTCACTGGTTATCTAGATGAGGTCAGTCAGTTATGTAAAAAATGTGAAATAGTTTACACTACAAATTAGCTTTAGCTACATTACTGTTGAACCAATTCTTTCTTCCTGTATTATATCCTTATACACAATCTTTCTTTTATATATTACTACCATTGGAGTAACTACTATGAATTTGGTGTTCATCTTGTTGTGCTAATGAGGTATAGCAACTTGGACCGATGCACATATGTGCCTGGTCTTACGTTGTAGCTGACTGACTGACACTACTTCTGAAAACCAGAAAACACATGATGTCTAGGACGAAAGAGTTTCTTTCTCCGATCTTCAACGGTTGTCTAGCTAAGCCAGTTTATGGTGTTAACTACCATTAAAGTCTTCACAATCCCTCGATCCTAATGAAAAGACAATATATTGGATATGGAGAATAAATTCGTAATTCATTATTGCTTGATATCTGTAGTTTGTAAAGAACCTATGATTGATTAATGAAATGTGTTGAGCCTATAACAAACAAATGATCACCATTGCTGTCCTAAGTATTTCATATACGTCAGGAAAAAAATGGGAATCATGTAACCTGGTGAACTGCTAGAATGAAACGATGGAGAGAGGTGGTTGTATGCTTTCACTCTATCTGATGTGTTTGTATACAGAGCTTGCAGTAAGTATGGCGTAACGCCGGAATTTCATAGAGGGTGAAAATTATAACCAATAAATAAACAACCAGGACGAAAGCCGGTCTGCTTCTCGCAAGTCAGTCTTTTATATGTTTCAGTGTGAATTATAACGGAAACCAATAGTTCTGAATCGATTGAAAGTAAACTTATTCTGGATCTTTGTAGAATAGATGACTTAAACCCATTTTAAGGACTAGGACTACTGTCGCTTGATTTTAGGATGGCAGAACACTCTCTACTTCGTAAATCTTTCCAAACAATCTAGTTGGTTCCCTGAACAAGAAGCTCGCCAGAGTGAGTCGTTCGGACCTGACGATTTGTGACGCTCCGGAAGTTGGGATTCCTAGGCGGCCACCTCTCCGTCAGGTGGGTCAGTTTTCACTGGTCATGATGGGCAGGCAAACCTGGTGGACGGCCAAAATGTCGTTCGAAAAAACTCTGCGCACTGTCCAAGGTCTCGTTAAATATTATTTATCGACTCCCTAGATTGCTTTACTCACATCAAGCTTCTTCCCCCCCCCAACGACTCGGATCAATTGAAGGAGCTTTTGACAGATACCAGATGCAGATGCTGCTTCCAAACTAGCTAGCATGCTGCAAGTACCAAGTGTTCGGTTCTCACACAACTTCTGTATAACTTCCAAATCTAAGAGTCTGTTTGTTGCCAAGCTCGTGATTAGTCACAGTCAACCGTGTCTCCAGAGGTCTGTTGAAACTTAGTGGTAGTCGGCGAGGCGTTTCGCAAAGCCACAAGCAACTTGTCATTTTCTTGACGCCAGGCAAATGCAACCGGTCTCCCCATGTATTTCTTCGTGGACTGATATTTAGCCTTGAACCTTGTTCATTTTTATTTTTAGTTGCAATGGAAGCTGCAGCCAATTTTTATTTATCAACTACTTCAGAACAATGAAATGTTTGGCCACTTAAAATCAAAATAAAGGGGCCAAAGCCAAAGCACGATAAGAGATCAGATACGTATTTGAGAATGAGTGCGTCACATACACAAACATATAAGCAGTAGCTGAACGCAATATAACCAATCGGAATCTACACAAGGATTGCAGAGGGAGTGGAAACATACATCATATCAGACTGTGTCGAAAGTAACGCCGACCCAAAACAGGTTTTCATGGTGGGAGACGGTCATTGTTATTCAACCAGTGACCAACTACTCCTCACCGGCCACCAAAGCGACTCTTCCGTACATAGAGGCCTTATCGACACATTCAAATCTCTAGATAACACTTAAACATCCGTCAAACGCGATTTCTTATGATCATTTAACTCGTGTTAGAGCTAATCCTCGATTGTATCCGGTCGGCAATTTGTTGGGGCGTAGGCATTGATAACGATATAAAATCGTATTCCATTTTTGACTTCTCGCTCTGACGGAACTTTTTAATCTTGAGACACACTGACTACTGTTAATTGGGGTCCAGTCGACTTGTGCTGTCTGGTACTTACTGCGACACGGAAGCCAGACAAACCGAACAGAAATGCCACAGAGTTACCAGACAAATACACACGGAACAAGCGTCTCGAATCGAGAAATAGAATGTGCAATTCTAGCATTAATGCAGTCTTAAGTATGGGGCTCGGTTGTACAGCAGATCTCCATATCAAGACTTCATAAAGACAACCAAATTTACCGTCTGATCTGTATTAGCGCCAGAACGTTGAAAGAATCCAGTTTGAATGTTAATCATAGCTTCAGAAAGGCTTATTCAGAATCTGTACTTGGTGGTAGCCATTAAACCTTTGACTAGTCTGTAATTTGAGTTCGTTTCAACACGAAAAAATTGTTGTCTGCTTGATTGGTTGAATTACTTGTGATCTGAATACAACGCGAATATAAATAATACTGTCATTCCGACTATATTAATGCGCCTACGACTATTGTTGAGGTTAAAGTTGAACAAGTAGTTGAAATCTACCACTGAAAACCACGTTTTTGACAGACAACCGGGTGCCTCATCTGTGTCAGATGGCTGAAGTTGGTGAAGGAAAAGGAAATTTACGTCTATCCCAAAATATACTCAGACGAAAATCTATAGAAATTGGCGATATTTTAAACGCTAATGGGGTAATCAACAAAATTTACAAGATTATTAGTTACATCACCATCTCCATGAAACGAAACTGTTTCACTAAGATGCATCAATTCTATTACAATATCCAGGTAGAATTAAGAAAGCTATCAGTAGGACATTTTTGATAAGTTAGGATACAAACACATTAAGTAAAGTTAAGTAAAGTGAACCACTTAACATAGCTAGGTGGACATATGCAAAACAACAAAGGAGCACGGTCGTTGTTTTCCACCAAATATTTTGGATGGAGACCCATGCGAGATTGACTTTAGGAAAATTTTCAGAAACAAAGCGTTTACAAAGCATTCAAAACTTACTATTGTAGCATAGGATTCACGTGGTTTGCAGCTCCTTATTCGTCTTTTAAGAAACGTGATCGTTTCTCTTTTGGGTAGTAAGAAAGTTCCTGCTTCACTTATCTGAGCTGTTAGTCGAAGAAAATATCCCTTGGGAAAACACCAATTCTGAACCACATCCTCAGAAGCCATTTTCAATAATTCATCAATTATACTAGGGACAGTTGGTAAATCACCAGAACAGTCAGGTGATTTACGTATACAACTCAATAGATTAAACTCCATCTTAGTTGAACGGAGAGCCTGTTTACTAATTTCATGGATGGATTTCATAATTGTTGGTTCAACCTACGGAGATCAGGCCTGTTTCCAATAAAACTCACCCTAGTGTTGGCAGTATTTATTCCACAAGATGTAGCCGTAGCACATGACCGTTTAAAATTAACATCAGGATCCACTACTTTCCCCGTCATACCATCTCTATGTATTGGGATATTATGATACGGGATTTGGGTTCGTTGGTGAATTAAATCGTGTTTTAGAGAGTCCGGAATTAAGTTCTCATTCTTTGAGAAAGAATGTCCGAGGAAGGCGTGAACTTGTAATATCTGACTCATAGTTCTATATTCTGTTATAGCTGTTAAGCGACTGCAACTTAGGCCTGTAACCAAAGTAGAGAAACACCAAAACAACAATAATTGAGACTGGAATTCCATTTTTCTTTCGGGAGTAAACAAAAGACAACTTCGGGGGTATTTGTAAATCACATCTCACAACTATGGGTCGCATGATGGGCTTACGTGAGGTACGCAGTGCCCATAAAATTCCACTTACCTTTCCAAAATTTACCTTGAGTACCCTACAAACGGGACGGTAAAAACGTTAGATCCCTTTAAATACGTCGCCGTTTCGTTTCAGAGACCTTGAAGGGCCTAACAGGGGGCGGTCATTCCGTACTTCGAGGACGATTAGGACGATGAGCCATGGGTTTTCGCGCGCATGTTGCATGGTGTCGAGGGTCCTGGATGTCGTTATTTATTAGTTATTAACAGTATTTTTTCCGTCACACGCCAATTTTCGTAGTTCAAATGGTTCAAATGGTTGTGGACGGAATAGAAGAAGCTTGCGCTTAACAGGCTTCCGTGTCTAGTAGCAGGGAATCACCAAATCCTCCAGGCAGGAACCTAGGTGTTTTACCAATAAAAGAGGAAAAAAATTGGTAAATCATAGTATGATGCTGTCCTTGGTCCTTAAGAATAGGCCAAGTTGCCTCTTGAAGGACTTCTGGGGAGTCGCTTGGACTAGCTCTGCCGGCAGCGAATTCCAGCATTTGACAACACTTAAGGAGTAGAAGTTATGTCTACAGTCCGTTCTGCTATGTTGTGTCTCCAGTTTCTGGGTGTTACCCCTCAGGTTAGTGTTCGAACTAAGCTTAAGTAGGTGTTTGAGAGGATATCCAGAAGTGTTAAGGATACTGTAAGCCATCAGAAGGTCACCTCTAAGACGTCTATACTCTAATGGGTAAATGTCTAGTGAATGGAGGCGCTCTTCGTAAGGTTTAAATTTGAGTCCTCGAACTGATTTCGTGGCTCGCCGTTGGATACGTTCCAGGGTATCCTTATCCTTTTGGAGTGAGGGGGAAATACTATGTTTCCGTGCTCTAAATGAGGACGGATGAAACTATTGAAGATTGTATGGGAAGTTCTTCCGTCGAACTGTCCAAAAATGCGCTTCAATGTTACCAGTGCAAGGTTTGCTCGGAAGGCATTTTTGTCAAAGTTAGCGTAAGACTTCAAATCGTAGGGGACCAAGACTCTTAAATCTTTTTCGACTTGGGATACTACTAGAGAGGAGTTACCTAAGTTATAACTGTAGTCTGCGACATGTCGCAGATGGACTACTTTACACTTTGAAGTGTTAAAGGTAAGTCCGTTATCGTCTGCCGAACTTTGAAGTCGAGTCAGATCCTCCTGTTTGTGCTTGTTACATAGCTTTTATTCCAGTTTATTAGTAGTTTGACGTATTTGTTGCTCACAACGTGGGTGAATGTTTAGTCAGCGTAATGTGGTTATTTGTAACAATGCAAACTCAAACAAGTGAAATTCACCATTTATCAAGTCAAAAATAAACTAAAATCAGAGTTTTGTGCAAGAATGAGCTCTAAAATCTCTTACACTTGATTCACCTCCCTAATTATGGTGGTGATGAACATGGACGTTGGTGGTTGTTTATACAATGTAGGTTGAAGCAATTAAACGCTAAACTATCTATGAATATTATATAAGTTGCTAACATACAGCCATAAACAATTCAATTTATCATAAGTATTACCGTTTTCGACTGAACTGACATATTATTATGTAACGTATCTGAGAACAATTATATAAGTAAAGCATGACGTTGATAGTCTTTTCTGAACATATATAGGAACTGCGTGTAACATTACTGTAAGAGACACACTGATCAGACGCATACTCCTCATAAGTAAAGGAATGCGTTTTTGTTTTGAGCATGGTAACTGAACCATGTCGTAGTTAATACTAATTTATGATGTGTCTGTTATGGGGTTTACGAATGAATTTCTGTAAACAGAATCCGCAATCACTAACCAAATTATGAACAAACTTATAATGCATATTGACGAGTAATATCAAATAGTGCTTACTAATGATTTCATTATTGCATGTAAACAATGAATTGTTAATACTATTATTTGGATTTTTCTCATTCATTCGTAAACCCAATAACAGACACATCATCTGACACAGATGAGGCACCCGGTTGTCTGTCAAAAACGTGGTTTTCAGTGGTAGATTTCAACTACTTGTTCAACTTTAACCTCAACAATAGTCGTAGGCGCATTAATATAGTCGGAATGACAGTATTATTTATATTCGCGTTGTATTCAGATCACAAGTAATTCAACCAATCAAGCAGACAACAATTTTTTCGTGTTGAAACGAACTCAAATTACAGACTAGTCAAAGGTTTAATGGCTACCACCAAGTACAGATTCTGAATAAGCCTTTCTGAAGCTATGATTAACATTCAAACTGGATTCTTTCAACGTTCTGGCGCTAATACAGATCAGACGGTAAATTTGGTTGTCTTTATGAAGTCTTGATATGGAGATCTGCTGTACAACCGAGCCCCATACTTAAGACTGCATTAATGCTAGAATTGCACATTCTATTTCTCGATTCGAGACGCTTGTTCCGTGTGTATTTGTCTGGTAACTCTGTGGCATTTCTGTTCGGTTTGTCTGGCTTCCGTGTCGCAGTAAGTACCAGACAGCACAAGTCGACTGGACCCCAATTAACAGTAGTCAGTGTGTCTCAAGATTAAAAAGTTCCGTCAGAGCGAGAAGTCAAAAATGGAATACGATTTTATATCGTTATCAATGCCTACGCCCCAACAAATTGCCGACCGGATACAATCGAGGATTAGCTCTAACACGAGTTAAATGATCATAAGAAATCGCGTTTGACGGATGTTTAAGTGTTATCTAGAGATTTGAATGTGTCGATAAGGCCTCTATGTACGGAAGAGTCGCTTTGGTGGCCGGTGAGGAGTAGTTGGTCACTGGTTGAATAACAATGACCGTCTCCCACCATGAAAACCTGTTTTGGGTCGGCGTTACTTTCGACACAGTCTGATATGATGTATGTTTCCACTCCCTCTGCAATCCTTGTGTAGATTCCGATTGGTTATATTGCGTTCAGCTACTGCTTATATGTTTGTGTATGTGACGCACTCATTCTCAAATACGTATCTGATCTCTTATCGTGCTTTGGCTTTGGCCCCTTTATTTTGATTTTAAGTGGCCAAACATTTCATTGTTCTGAAGTAGTTGATAAATAAAAATTGGCTGCAGCTTCCATTGCAACTAAAAATAAAAATGAACAAGGTTCAAGGCTAAATATCAGTCCACGAAGAAATACATGGGGAGACCGGTTGCATTTGCCTGGCGAATACGATTTTATATCGTTATCAATGCCTACGCCCCAACAAATTGCCGACCGGATACAATCGAGGATTAGCTCTAACACGAGTTAAATGATCATAAGAAATCGCGTTTGACAGATGTTTAAGTGTTATCTAGAGATTTGAATGTGTCGATAAGGCCTCTATGTACGGAAGAGTCGCTTTGGTGGCCGGTGAGGAGTAGTTGGTCACTGGTTGAATAACAATGACCGTCTCCCACCATGAAAACCTGTTTTGGGTCGGCGTTACTTTCGACACAGTCTGATATGATGTATGTTTCCACTCCCTCTGCAATCCTTGTGTAGATTCCGATTGGTTATATTGCGTTCAGCTACTGCTTATATGTTTGTGTATGTGACGCACTCATTCTCAAATACGTATCTGATCTCTTATCGTGCTTTGGCTTTGGCCCCTTTATTTTGATTTTAAGTGGCCAAACATTTCATTGTTCTGAAGTAGTTGATAAATAAAAATTGGCTGCAGCTTCCATTGCAACTAAAAATAAAAATGAACAAGGTTCAAGGCTAAATATCAGTCCACGAAGAAATACATGGGGAGACCGGTTGCATTTGCCTGGCGTCAAGAAAATGACAAGTTGCTTGTGGCTTTGCGAAACGCCTCGCCGACTACCACTAAGTTTCAACAGACCTCTGGAGACACGGTTGACTGTGACTAATCACGAGCTTGGCAACAAACAGACTCTTAGATTTGGAAGTTATACAGAAGTTGTGTGAGAACCGAACACCTGGTACTTGAAGCATGCTAGCTAGTTTGGAAGCAGCATCTGCATCTGGTATCTGTCAAAAGCTCCTTCAATTGATCCGAGTCGTTGGGGGGGGAAGAAGCTTGATGTGAGTAAAGCAATCTAGGGAGTCGATAAATAATATTTAACGAGACCTTGGACAGTGCGCAGAGTTTTTTCGAACGACATTTTGGCCGTCCACCAGGTTTGCCTGCCCATCATGACCAGTGAAAACTGACCCACCTGACGGAGAGGTGGCCGCCTAGGAATCCCAACTTCCGGAGCGTCACAAATCGTCAGGTCCGAACGACTCACTCTGGCGAGCTTCTTGTTCAGGGAACCAACTAGATTGTTTGGAAAGATTTACGAAGTAGAGAGTGTTCTGCCATCCTAAAATCAAGCGACAGTAGTCCTAGTCCTTAAAATGGGTTTAAGTCATCTATTCTACAAAGATCCAGAATAAGTTTACTTTCAATCGATTCAGAACTATTGGTTTCCGTTATAATTCACACTGAAACATATAAAAGACTGACTTGCGAGAAGCAGACCGGCTTTCGTCCTGGTTGTTTATTTATTGGTTATAATTTTCACCCTCTATGAAATTCCGGCGTTACGCCATACTTACTGCAAGCTCTGTATACAAACACATCAGATAGAGTGAAAGCATACAACCACCTCTCTCCATCGTTTCATTCTAGCAGTTCACCAGGTTACATGATTCCCATTTTTTTCCTGACGTATATGAAATACTTAGGACAGCAATGGTGATCATTTGTTTGTTATAGGCTCAACACATTTCATTAATCAATCATAGGTTCTTTACAAACTACAGATATCAAGCAATAATGAATTACGAATTTATTCTCCATATCCAATATATTGTCTTTTCATTAGGATCGAGGGATTGTGAAGACTTTAATGGTAGTTAACACCATAAACTGGCTTAGCTAGACAACCGTTGAAGATCGGAGAAAGAAACTCTTTCGTCCTAGACATCATGTGTTTTCTGGTTTTCAGAAGTAGTGTCAGTCAGTCAGCTACAACGTAAGACCAGGCACATATGTGCATCGGTCCAAGTTGCTATACCTCATTAGCACAACAAGATGAACACCAAATTCATAGTAGTTACTCCAATGGTAGTAATATATAAAAGAAAGATTGTGTATAAGGATATAATACAGGAAGAAAGAATTGGTTCAACAGTAATGTAGCTAAAGCTAATTTGTAGTGTAAACTATTTCACATTTTTTACATAACTGACTGACCTCATCTAGATAACCAGTGAAACCATCAAGCACCGGACAGCTGTTTTATGATGGTACGGGGCTCCTCAGAAGCGGGCACCCACCATCTCACTTTAGATCGAACTGAGGGCCTACGGGCTTAGTGTTCAGCTTAAAGCTTTATACTATTAAGTCTTCGTTCATCACTAGTGGCTGATTGCGACAGATTATTCTCCGTGTTCTAGTGAGATATTTAATTCAACCTTGTGGGGTGTCTGACATTTATCCACCGATGACATTGTAAGGTGTTCGCGTAATATCAAGGTTCGATTATAGCCGGTGATGTATACTTCTGAATCCAGACTCAGTAGTCTGATGTTGGGCGTTTGCCTTCAGATCTGGGGGTCTTGAGTTCAGTCCTCGGTGGGGTCGTGAATACTCCCTGACGGGTAGTTCCATTCTAGATCGAAACGGCCGCCCCACGGTTCCTTATTCTAAAGATTTATGCAGCTAGTATCATGTTATGTAAACTATAAATCTCTGCAATCTAAATAAACTCCTATTCTAATTATCTCCATATTGGTTCACATACATTTTTATTTCAGAAAGCTTGGAATTGGTTTGTAATGTAATATGTTTTGGAATGCTTATTGACTGATTATCTTCATGTTGTAATCATGTGATCAAGATGTGCTTGTTGTGGGGTGGATAACGAGTCAAGCATTTTGATTTTTGTGTGGAACTTTCTTTACTAACGTTTTGCAGTTGAGGACGTTGACAAAGTGTTTTATTTAAAGTATTTTACGTATTCGCATCAGTTCACCAAATACCTGGCAGATTAAGTAATTTCGTTTGCATGACTTGGTTATTTTTTGTTCACTTAAACATTACCCAGAATGTATACACTTCCTTACCCAATATTACATAAACAACTTCTGTTATATACTCTGTTAATGAAAAAAAACTAATTCTTGAATGACATCCGTTCACTAAAGATGTCTAGAATTGGTCAGTTTTATTAGCAAATTGATCAAAATGACACCGTACAAATTAATTGATGTTTATTACTAGATTTCCTCGTAAAAGCCTTCAGAAACTGTGAGAAGGTTGAAAAAATACGTCCGCCAGCCAATGTTTGACAGAGACTTCCCAGAAAACTCTAGAAAAGGTTGGTTTCGTGTCTTCTTCTGATTAAACAACTAGCGATATTGTTTCCAATTTTGACATATTTTCAGCGACTTACAGAATATCAAGATCACCCATAAATATCCTTATTCTCTATACTCAAAATAACCTTTGAAGTGAAGCATCTTTTCGTACTTCCTGCCTTTCGTCTTTCGTTTGAGGTTCAAGCGTAGGGGATTTCTGAGGAACTAGAAAACGATCAGGAGTCAATTTCGTGTCCAAGTACTGAATGTGTCATTTAGCCTTACCGATGAATGGCCTCATGGATTTAAATATGTGTAGTAGACGTTCGTTTCTTTTTATCTCATATAGTGAGACATTTTAACCGCCAATTAATAATACAATATAAAGTTGAAACTGAAGTTGAAACAAAATGTAATCGCTGCATGGAAATATGAGTTTGTTTATTTGAAACGACAGTATTTTGATCTACATTTTGTATTTTGATTTACATAGTGTTTTTAACAGGTTCATTTATGCATATTATCTGTAAATTTTCATTCCTATGATTATTATCACTTTCTGCATAGGAGGATACTGTAA